AAAATGAGTTCAGAAATAATCTTTATTTAACATCGAGATTAAGGATCAGTGATTATACGCTAAAATAATAGAGAAAGAATGACTAAATTGACTATTGCTGACTGCAGTACACCATAGTCTCTATTATGTGACTCCTCGGTAGACATAGTACTTACTCTTGCTCGTCTTCTGAGGAGGACTCAGAGTCCTCCTTACCACGGACCACAGCAGGCATCTTCACATTGAGAGAGGAGGACGAGGATCAAGTGTCTAGTGTTCACCATGGCACCTGACGCTACCAACACCAACTGCAAGAACACCTGACATTGTATAGCTGTAATGTCCATTCATGCGCAATATAATATTAATAGCCTACAGAGGCTAGCGAATAAAGAATGCTTATTCGTATTGTCCTGAAATAGTGTTTCACATTTAGCACAGGTAACCGAGAACAAATGATTTGATTAGCTCTACCTGTAGTGAAATTATATTTCGTTACACGTCCAGTTAAGACTAAACCCAGACAGGCAGCCAAACACTCGTTAGCTTAATAACACTCACTGACATCCTACTTCAGGTACAGGAAGCTAGCTATGTAAAGTCTGCTTAGCTCGAGACGTTTTTTAAATGCATTACAAGCACACACAAACGCAAACTTGCCTTTAACTCTCAGAGCCAGCTAACTGCTAAGCTAGCTGTTATCACCAGGGCCAGTTGATCATCGCGGTTAATCTTCCTGGTAACTACAACAACTGAGTAGCAACAGAGCAGGGAGCATGCGCAGTCCAGGACGATATTTATTTGTCCAAATGACCAAACTTTGCTTTGCATCCAGTGGTTGGACGTACGGTGGACGTGACAGTAATTGTATGTTACTCGATGTACTCAAATGGTAATAATAGTATAGGCTATTCAGTCCTTTGTGTTTTTGTACAGCATATCATTTTCAAACGGGAACATAAAATACATCTTCTGCACTGTCTATACTTGACCAGATTTCACGACAACATAAGACAAGAAAAATCACTCTCTCGCTCGCTATATACTCTTTGTTCGAACACAGCCTAGCCTTCAGCCTACACGTGACCTGATGTCTTGATTTCTATTGGTTGGCGAAGGAGGTAGGAGGAACCTGACTGCTCGTATGGGCCAATCATATGAATGGTACGATTGAATGGAGCCATTTCTTAAGCTTTGCTATTGGTCAACCCCAGAGTTCAAGATTGAAAGACTTGCCGTTGTGAGAATAACATCATACTGGGTTTGTTTGAGTCTCATTTAATGTGAAGTTCTCTCTTCTGTCGAAGGAACACGTTTACATGGTAGTTTTATAAAGGCCGCCAGGTAAATATAAGAACAAAATATTGTTGATACTATCATTATTTTTTATCTTAAGGCTTGTTAATTGTGTTAACCAGGTTGAAGCAGCGTTAGCCTGCTACGTCACGTTAGTTATTGCGGAATATCTCTTGTTAGACAGTCCTGTGGTGTGTTAGTCAGGTAACATACCACATACACCTGTAATTCTGCTTTTAAATGACCATCGAGCTGCACATGCATTTGCCTTCAGTTTGAATCCTGCACTGATAAATAACATCATGGTTTTTTCTCTGTGACAGGTGCGTCTCTGGAAAAAGAAAACATGGGTCGCTTTCTGAACGTCCTGCGGAGCTGGCTGTTGATGGTCTCGGTCATCGCGATGGGAAACACCGTGCAGAGCTTCCGAGATCACAGTTTTTTATCAGAGAAGCTCTACACAGGCACGCCAGAGTTTGGTGAGGAAAGCCGGTTTTATGGACAACACCAATGCACTGCACAGTACAACATGAAATGTCCCATCAAAACACATTTTACTCGAATGAGCCTGATGTTGGTGCTGGCAGGTGTTTATAAAATAGCATTAGAAAAAGAATATCTGCAATTTGTGTCAGCTTCTAAGACAACATTTGGACTGTTTATCAGTGTAAACAGTCAGGAATATTAAGAGGCCATAACCCAAACATCTAAAACAATCTTTAATGTTTAGGTCCACACTGTTGGGCCAATATTAATATTTGTGATTTAAAAGAAGTCTGATGAGGAAACTCAATATTGGCACATTACAAAACGACATTTTTCACAATAATATATTACATTTTGTTTTTGAAGAATTAGAGATATGTACTCAACTGGCCCTTTTGCAGTTACAATGATACACATTGCTCACTCAGTAGTCTCTGTTGGAAAATATAATGGTTCCTTTTTTGACTCTTTCATTCCTGAGTTTCTGTTTGCGTGTAATTTCCTCAGTTAATGGTCTCCAAGCTCGAACATTTGGGATTTGGACGTTACTGTCATCGATCATCCGCTGTTCCTGTGCCATTGATATCCAGAACAAAACGTAAGACAGCTTCTCACTTTCTGCACCTCCTTTTGTGTTTCTGTTGGCAGTCTTCTTACTGTTTGTTTCCACTGTGTGTCTCCTGCAGGCTCTATCACATCACCTTATGGACATTTGTGCTGGCGTTGGGCCACTTCCTGTCTGAAGCCTTCATCTACAAAACTGCTCCTCTGACCATCGGGGTCATGGCTCCTCTCATTGTTGCAAGTGAGTGAGGAGTGATAGGAAATACAGTATTCCCCTAATCATTCATTGTAATGTATTATACCATCCATCCATCCATCCATCTTCTCCCGCTTATCCGTGGTCGGGTCGCGGGGGTAGCAGTTCCAGCAGAGAGCCCCAAACTTTTTTTCCCTGGCGACATCAACCAGCTCTGACTGGGGGATCCCAAGGCGCTCCCAGGCCAGCGAAGAGATATAATCCCTCCACCTGGTCCTAGGTCTACCCCTTGGTCTCTTCCCAGCTGGACGTGCCTGGAACACCTCCCTAGGGAGGCGCCCAGGTGGCATCCTAACTAGGTGCCCGAACCACCTCAACTGGCTCCTTTCGACGCGAAGGAGGAGCGGCTCAACTCCGAGTCCCTCCCTGATGACCGAACTTCTCACCTTATCCCTAAGGGAGACACCAGCCACCCTGCAGAGAAAACCCATCTCGGCCGCTTGTATCCGCGATCTCGTTCTTTCGGTCATGACCCATCCTTCATGACCATAGGTGAGGGTAGGAACGAAAATGGCCCGGTAGACAGAGAGCTTTGCCTTCTGGCTCAGCTCCCTTTTCGTCACAACGGTGCGGTAAAGCGACTGCAGTACCGCTCCCGCTGCTCCGATTCTCCGGCCCATCTCACGCTCCATTGTTCCCTCACTCGAGAACAAGACCCCGAGATACTTGAACTCCTTCACTTGGGGTAAGGACTCATTCCCTACTTGAAGTGGACAGTCCATCGGTTTCCTGCTGAGAACCATGGCCTCAGATTTGGAGGTGCTGATCCTCATCCCAGCCGCTTCACACTCGGTTGCGAACCGATCCAGTGAGTGCTGAAGGTCGCAGACCGATGAAGCCATAAGAACCACATCATCTGCAAAAATTAGTGGTGCAATCCTTAGTCCACCGAACTGCAGACCCCCTCCCCCAAGACTACGCCTCGAAATCCGATCCATGTATATTACAAACGGGATTGGTGACAAAGCGCAGCCCTGGCGGAGGCCAACCCTCACCGGAAATGTGTCCGACTTACTGCAGAGGACCCGGACACAGCTCTCGCTTTGGGAGTACAGAGATTGGATGGCCCTGAGTAGAGACCCCCTCACCCCATACTCCCGCAGCACCTCCCACAGTAACTCCCTGGGAACTCGGTCATACGCCTTCTCCAAGTCTACAAAACACATGTAGACCGGATAAGCGTACTCCCAGGCCCCCTCCAGGATCCTTGCGAGAGTAAAAAGCTGATCCGTCGTTCCACGACCAGGACGGAATCCGCATTGTTCCTCCTCAATCTGAGGTTCGACAATCGGCCTGACCCTCCTTTCGAGTACCTTAGAGTAAACTTTCCCGGGGAGGCTGAGTAGTGTGATGCCTCTGTATTATACCATATTTCTTCTAAATCCTAATGGCATCTTTATGTGTTTTTCTAGGTTTCTCCATCATAGGAATGCTGATTGGGTATCAGTGCATCCCAGAGTCACAAGAGCAAGTCGGAGCTCGACAGAAGAAGCGTAACTGAGTCCCGAGTTTTCCACCGCACCTCAAAGTGACCAGCTCCTAGAGTGCTGCTGCTTGCCTTGAAGAACTTGAGATCTGTTTGAACATTCATTTCTCACTGTTAACCCTCTCTATAGACTACATAACATTGGGTTTCGTGTTTTTAAACTGACATTTTACACTTCAGTGCAATCAAACGGTCGGACGGAAGGTCATGTTAGTGATGAATCTATGCTGGCTAATAACTACTTAATTCACAAACGATCTATACATGGAGGTTTCATTTAGTTATTATCTTTACTGTCAGGCTAAATGACAATCATCTGTATGTGTATACGCTCATAAATGATTCCACTTCCTATACATTTTTTTTATTCATTATCCACCAAGGAGCACAGATGACTCTACAGTCTAAAACTATGCTCTTTATTACAAAGTCTCATAAACACAATTATAAAGAGTTATTCTGTATGTTTGTTTCGTGCTGTGAAATGTTTGTACGCCCAATTATTGTCCTATAAAACGTTTAAAAGTGAAGCGTTTGGTGCTTTCTAGTTTCTAATTGTATTTTTTCGTTTTCTGGTTCATGATAAGAATTTTAAATTCAGTAAACATGAGCACACTTTTAATGATGAGGTATTTAAGACACTATGTACATTTGTTCATAACTCCCCCATTATATCGAGAGAGGCATACGGTAACACCTTTTGTTTGTCCACACAGATAGGGAACAAAACGAGCTGCATCGAGTCCTATTATTCAGGTTTGTAATGTCAACGATGTCTTTACTCTATAAGTTCCTTAAGAGTCATAGGTAACACTACACTGTTTATTCAGTCAAAATATAGAATAGATCAGCCCTTGTGGCTGGTAACAACATCTGGAGTAACTCGTTTTTCATAGAGTAAATTGTACTAAAAAAGAGTGAAATAAAAACAGGCACCTTAAAATCTCATTTATTATAAAATAGTAAAATCACCTGACAGTCCCCACAGAATAGTGTGAAACCCTTGAATGGCACACTAGTTATTATAGCATGAACTACATTTCCCACTCACAAGTTGACAACCTAAGTAAAAGTTCACATTAAAACATTTATTGTGCAAAATGTCAACTGCAATAGATTAATTTGCCTTCCGTCTCGCTTTGAGCTGAGCTTACATTCCAGACTTTCTTGATTGCATGTTAATCTAGATATCTAACACCAAATGTGTAGTAGAGATCACTTACACAAAGACAAAACTGATGCACGGCATCAATTACATTTATAGTCAAAAGTATGCAGAAGTTATTCCTCCATGTGATCCTGGATGGCAGGTAGAGATGATAACATGAGAGGAACACTGTTTTAGTCTGCACTCTAATGAATGCCTTCAGCAATGTAAAGACTGAGATCAGTTACACACAAATTGGTCAAGTAATAGGAAACACCTTTAAAATATTGCTTGTAAGATTCATAGATCACTGAATCAACACTAATCAGACGGTTAAAAGTTCGGGAAAAGTTAAAAACACTAAAGTGGCAGTTGCATTGCACTGAAATGCCTCCATTGGGTAAAATCAATGTTTAATAAGATGATGAGTTCAATGTTTTTAAAACATACGAGGATCCAAGTGTGTTCCCCTTGTGAATGATTGCCTTGTGCTTGGTTTGGGATGAGCTACATTGCACCTGGGCATTAGTGTGAGTCTCTGGTGTTTGAATCAGTGTGTGGACGTACAGTACATCAGATGTTTGACAGAGTGCTGCTCAGAGGGGTTCACTCTCCTCTGCTCACTCTTCACTGCAGCTTTGCTTCCTCTGTGGCCCCTGTGTGTGTTAATGCATGTTAAAGTGACAGTATTTGTGATTAATCAGTCAACAGCATCTTTGTCAGAGTCTGTCCCCCTTATCACTTCCCCTCTTTCAGAAGTGCAGGTGGCGGTACGGCTCCTTCTAACTCAGCCGTGGCTTTCTGTAAAGGAAACAAATATTAATTATCACAAATGAAAACAAGATGACACAAATTCTCAACTCATCACAGCATTCAGAAAGACAGCTAAATGCTAACATAAACCATATTATTCATTTCTTGAGAATCAAACATCTTAAAACTTTAATTCTACTCTGGCATTAAATCCATATTATTAATACCTTTTTCTGTGCTCATCAAATCACTCAGTTAGTCATCAGTTAATCACAAATGTCTAATGATCGTTTTCATTTCTTTTTAACAGATTTGATTCAAGAAAATGTTAAAAAAAACAAGTGCAGGAAATCATGATTGATTTTAAGATAAAATATGTTATTCCACGATACCAGCAGGTGAACCTGCTTGACCTCCATGGCGATAGGTCATCAGTACAGTGCTTTAAAAGTTAAGGAATTTTAAGAAGCATATTTTTCTTTTTGATTCACAAATAACTCATCTTTTTCAATTAGCCTTTAATTTGTAGGAATCTTTAATTAAGGCTGTCTCATCTCATGAAAGATGCCTGTTGCGTGTGTAACACTGGACTAACAGCAGTCATGCTTTAATTCTAAAATACACACTGTGTTCAAATTCCTGTTAATTTCACATGCGTACATTAGTTCAAAGTTGTTTTTACAGGTGTGGTATTTGGATAAGTTAATATCTTACCTGTCAGTACTAACCCTATTAGCAGGAAATTATTATCATGAGTTTTAAAAAAAGGCTGAAATCTGGAAATAAAATGGTTTATTCAACAATGAAGTGGATTTGAATATACTGCAGCTCAGTAGTTTATAACATTTTCTATTAGAAATACCAGTCCTGCTTTGTTCAGAATTGATTAAACCTTCTCTTTTTGTAAATTGAAACTTAATGTGCTTTTTTGTTACAGTTTTGCAGAATTTTCTAGAAGATTCAATGGCTTTTTGATGTTAAAAATATGTTTTATTTCCTGTCAAATATCACTGTGTGTTTGTGTAGAGTATCGTCTTACTGGTGATGAAGAGGTTTTGGTTTTAATGAGGTTTTGGGTTTATGTCAAGATTGCCGTTGCCAGTGGACGGTCGCTGTGGCCCCGTAGTCCTTTCCCGATGTCACAGAGCCTGTAGGCTGGAATGATAGCTTGGAGGTCACTCCTCTGAGGGTCCCAGAGGGTCCCAGAGGGGCCACCTGATCACCCACATCTCCTCCATCCCACACCACCAAACCTTAAACACCCAACTTAGACTGCCTGCATTTCACCCAGCAGCCACACTTACACTGCCTTTAGTGAGGAAAATATGACCTGCATCTAGTCATTTAGCAGTAAATTATACCAAATATGATAAATTAACAGTTTATTTAGATATATTTTTCATAGATTTTCACCGATTACTTCTCATATCAACTATTGTGCCTGTATTCTTATTTATCTCACTGCTGGTTCTTTCATTCCATTAATTAAAAAGGAGTATCTGTTAAATGTAAATTGTAGTGTACAGGATAACCAGAGCTATTATTTTAGTGTGGATTTAGAATTGGAATATTGTTAACAGTAAAAGAAAAAGGAAAGAAAGAAAAAGAGTTTCTAAGTTTTTCTTTAAGAAGGCAATGAGTGATGAGGTATGCCAAGGTATTTTTTAAATGGCATTCATTTTCAATATATTACAACCAATTGTATTTGATAATTGCATGTTATCACATAGTTAGAGTGATTTAGAAAGGTTTTATCCTGTGACACTGTCATCTGCACTCTTTGCCAGTGATAGTGAGAAAAAAAATTAAATTGTTGAAGCACCAGATGGTAAACATGCTGTTAAGAGTGATTTGGAGAGCTCTCAGACAAAGCAAAAGTGTGCCTTACTGTCTGAGAGTAGAACATGTTTTTAGTGAGTTTGGACAGAGTTTCATGCAGCGCTGCCCCTGTGCATGCCTGCAGCAGTGTGAGGACCACAGACAAGCCCACTTACTTACACTCACTGTCCGCACCTCAGCCTGCTGGAGGTTGGCCTTCTGCCGGCGGAGGTCAGACTTGATTAATCCTACGATAAAGGGGACAGAAAAGGTTATTGAGGTTTTGCTCTTATTAAAGTTAGCGCAGTATGTTTTTCCAAGTTGGCATGAGGAACATTTAAATGCGGAGAATTGTGTTCGTTTGGTAATCACCATTATTATCAAAAGTTAAATTAAATAGCACATCAGTGGCAACTTCTTTCAGGACGGCATTAACCACGCTGGTTGCAGTGTTACCTCCACAAATCTGTTACAACTTCAGGAGCTTTACAATGAGTTAACACAATTCATATAAAACAGCATCTTGAAAGTGACTACTTACATGTCAAATGTCAGGGAATATAAGATATTTTGCACCGTGTTATTGTTGATGCACAACCAATAAATGGCAAAAAGTAATCATCATAATGCTTTAAAAGTGAAGAAGTGTTAGAAAGCATTCGATTTCAATTGGCTTTATATTAGTGGTTGTCCTTTATTCAGCCACGAGGGGGCTGTCTCATCTCATGAAAGATGCCTGTAGCGTGTGAAACACTGGATTAACACCAGTCATGCTTCAATTCTAAAATACACATTGTGTTAAAATTCCTGTGAATATCACATGCCGACATGAGTTCAAAGTTCTATTTAGTTTTTGAAACTTGTTTTTGAAACTTGTTTTTAGAGCTGTGGTATTTGGTTAAGCTAATATCCTACCTGTCAGTATGGATCCTATTAGCAGGAAAATACACAAGAAGATGTTTCCTGCAAAAGTGCCCCATCTATCAATAATCTTCCCCTGGGAGATGGTGAAAATGATTCCAAAGATCTGAAAGGAGAATAAAACCTTTCAAGTTTACATCCCAAAACAAACACATTTTGTATTTTGTAAATTTGTATTAAACGTTGCTATCATTACTGACCTGAGCTGAGCAGTTCAGCAGTCCAGAGGAGGTTCCCTCTGACTCTGGATATGTGAGCTCTACTGCAAACTCAAAGCCTAGAGGAAGATATCCCGTCATGAAGAAGCTGCAGACACACATGCAAACACCGAAGGTCAAATTAAACACCAAATTAAAGTGTTTTATCTGCACTTAAAAAGGAGGCCAAGGACAGTTAATAAATCCTGTCTGGGTTTCAGAAATGAAAGCAGACAAGGAATTGCTATGGAAACCAGTTATGGATTTAATCAGCTTAACAAAAATAGCAATAATTGTAAAGACAAATCACGTGGACTGAGGGACCAGTGGAGCATTAATATTGCTTTGACAAAGCAGCAGAAATGCAAAGAAACCTGAACTACAGACAGAATGTTTTGAAGGCATTTCAGCATTAGAAGAGTTCAGACTACAGAGCTGCTAAGCCTGCCTTTTTTATCCAGAACGGTCTCCTTCTCTGATATAATCTGGTAAAGACAATAAACACATTACGATAAAAAGTAAGTGTTTCTTTGAAACTGTTTTGCAGAGGGGTCTGAGAGTAGAGCTCCTGCTACTGTTTGCTCAGCTTGTTTCTCTGATAGCTAAATATTCAGATGTTGGATAACATAAAACCCTTTATCTAGTGGTTTAAAAAAAGAGGTAAAAGACAACCAAGTGCGTAGAATAAGTGGCTCAAAATGTGGAAAAAAAGTCAATTTATGACTCGTTCTGGCAAACAACAACACTGACCCATGCACAAAGGAGGTACAACGCCATTTCAGGCAAATAAATAAAACAGATTGGTACCTTGGTTACATTTCTTACATGGAAACGTTACCTACTATACCTTAAAGTTAACAAAATAGGTGTGTTTTGCGATGAGGTATGGATTTAGCTTCAAGATTTCTCAAACAGAAATAGCTGTTGATGGTTACACTTGTTATTTCCCCCTGTCTGTGATGTGTATTGCCTTGCTCTCTAATGGTTACATACCCTAAAGTTCCAGCTGTCACAAACACCACCCACAGGTAACCCAGGTTGAGGGTGAAGGTGTAGATGACCATCCCGATCAGAGAGAGGACATAAACGGCCAAGGCGGTTTGTCTGGGGAAACAAGAGTGAATCATACAGTTTAAAAAGCGTGAAGAAGATACGATGAATTGCAATGCATTCACACACAGCAAACAGCAAACAGTATTTGTAGGTATACACCAAAAAAACATTGTAACTAAGGATAATATATAATAACGTCATCTGAATTGGCTTTCACATTAATACATCTTATGATAAGGCTCCTGATTACTACATGCCTGCCAGAGCTGACCAGAACAGAGACATTCCACAACATAATAATACATGTAAAAATCTGTCTTTCTTAATAATGTTTCAAGGCAAAAGCAACACCCAGTTTTAGTTTTCTTTTGTGTTAATTACAAAAGAAGCTTTTTTAATAGCTTTGATGACTGTTGGTTATAGGGTTAAATGTCGCATTGCAAAGGAAACTTATTTTAAGACTTTTTTATCATATATTCTGCAAAAAGAAAGTATTACAAGAAGCAAAACGCATCTGTATAACTAGCAGGGTTAAACTTGGAGCAATAGGAGGAGCCGGTAGCACTTCTCCTCCAGACATGCATCACTTCATGTGTCTCGTGCATTAAATGCAAGCGTATAATGCATATTATGATACACCCAAACAGGATTAATGCCAACAAATAAAACACGTTCACAGTCACATTTTTCTTTTTTTAAATAACCTTAAAAAGTGATGTGTTTTTTAGTGCCAGAGCAGCCATATTTTAAAAGATAGTTGTCTTACTTAACATGAGATTCCTGACTAATCCTTGCAAAGCAGAAACAATATTCCTGATTCACTGAAGCCCCCCCATCGCACCCAAACGGAGTGACTCTGATGAAGCTGCCTCTCGTACAACCACGCGTAAAAAATTGCTGCAAAACATCTTTGTTACTATAACAGAGTCCTTTAACTCTCTACCATATGAGACAGTAGGCGTGAGAGGGTCAACAACCTAAATCTGGACCTGACTGCTTTGACAGCTACGTTTTGTGATGGCATGTAAGGAATCTGTGGACCGAGGATTTTCCTAATCATAATACTTTGCATGCCAGGTCACTAGTGTAGACAGTGTACCAAACATCCAAGACTCAGAAAACTGCTGTGGTCGTTACTTAGTGTATTTATATGCTTTATCTAGACAAAAGGACAGGATCAATAATCAGATAGCAATGAGATATCTTCCCTTTAAGGTTGAATTAGTGGTATTTTCTATGTTTAATGTGGAGGGCTAAGATGTGACCAGGGAGCAGCAGAGTACAGCCTGTCAGTTCAGATAAGCAGAGAGGGACATCATGTATAAAACTCAGCTCCACTGGATTCTCATTTTGTTCAGAGTGGGCACGAATCACTTGAACATCTCTCTTCGGATGGGTGATATAAAATACACCCATGACCCTGAGACTTTAAATAACTGTATAGCACTTTCTTTCGGAGTTTGCACTACATTTGTGGTAACTCAATCTCTCATTTAGCTTCAAAATGAAGTCTGTTTAGAGATGCTTTATGAATGGCACTGCTGGTCAGACTGTCCCAACACTTGCATCCAGACCTAAACAACTGCTTTGATGATCTACTAATTTTCCTCTAGCCCAACCATGAGGTTAACATTTAAGGTTTTAAAATATTTGATGGCCGATCATGGAAGTTCTCCACATTCCCCACAAGATCTAAAGGTCACAATTGTATTTTGCCTGAAACTTTGCGTCCAAATAACTGCAAAACTATTAGTCATGCTTGGTCATGTAAGAATGCTAACACACGTAATTAAGATGGTAAACATTGTAAACAACCCAACTGATCAAATCAGAGCGTGTTAGCATGGTCATTAAGCATTTTAGCATTCAGATTAGGAACCACTATCATTAGGCGCATTCACACTGCGGTACTTTTCCCACAAAGGTTCATGTGAACTTAGTTCATGTGAACTCTTTTATCGCGTTCACACCAAAAAGAGCCGGTACTAAAATGAGTTCATGTGAACCTTTTTACCCCCACGAAAGTCCCTGCTCTCTAGCAGGGACTTTCGTGCGGCTCTCTTGTGAGAAAAGAGCTATATTTCTGATTGGCTGGGCGGATTGCAAACCACGCCCCGTAAAACTCCCAAAAAGTTTTGTGAAGCCGCCATTGTATTATCCTCGCATTAGCATTATTAGCATTAGGATTAGCCCAGCGCAGAAACGCAGAGAGACTAATTTATGGCAACACAAAATAAAACATGGGAGCGGTGGAGATGAGGAGGTGTCGGCGTTCTGGCGATTTACTCGGAAGGCTTCAGTAGAAGCTGCTGGGAGTCCCAGCAGCTTCTACTGAAGCCAGTCCCCAACTCCGGGGACTTCCGGCCGGGGACTTTGGGCGGCAGTATACGCCGTGAAGTGGTTTGCGGCCTGCCAGTAAGCCCAAAGCAGAAGAAGAACAAGTTACGTCAGCGGCTTAATTTGCCTAATCCACCCACAGGGACTTTTTCCAGTGTGAACGCGATCTGTACTTAGTTCATGCGAACTAAAGAGTTCACATGAACTAAGTTCACATGAACCTTTGTGGGAAAAGTACCGCAGTGTGAATGCGCCTATTGATAAATCGTTGATATCCTAATGGGACCTTGCCTAGACTAGGGGAACACTGTGTGTTTCTCAATGTCAAGGACGCTTGCTTGGTAGCACATGTCTTCCGAGTCACTTGCTTCAGAAGCGAGGCAAGAATCCTTCCTAGCCACGGAAAACGAAGAATTGTGGAACAGGCTAACAGGTGTGCAGGTGTGCGTCATATGCGAGACCCCGCCTTAAATGGAGCGCGATCTCTGCCAAAGATTTGGAAATTGGTCCGTGCGCAAAGCATTGTATGGGATTTTAAGACCGTGGAGTCTACACATGTGCAGCCTCGAAATGTCCCGCTACGAAGTACGCCGGCCTCGGTAGAATTCCAAGTATGCTGGACATTGGAACAGTCCTTCGGCGGCACTCGATGACGTAGTATACTTGAAATAGTGGCTCTGGAGCAGCCTTCCTCGACATTGAGAAACACCTCGAGTTTGGAGTTTTGGTTTCTTGTCGATACCCTAAAGCAGTGGTTCTCAAATGGGGGTACGCGGACCCCTAGGGGTACGTTGGAGTACTGCAGGGGGTACGTGAGATTTATTTTAGTTAATGAAAAAAAAAAAACGTAATTAATGCGTTTAAACAAACTACTAATAGTAGATGAACTACTTTCTTCAAAAGTTTACAGAAACTCTGGATAATAAAATGGAAAAAATAAACAGGGTGCTCTCTTTTCCTCTCCCTCTCCTGACAGCCCGTCAGGCTCGTGCAGCTCGCTGAACCTGTAATGAGTGACCCGACAGTAGAGAATAAATATATGTATAACTAGTTTAGCTAGTTCCAGAGTAGATAAACTAGCTATGTGTGTTCGGTCTAACTCAGGGGTGCCCAACCTTTTTTTAACCAAGAGCTACTTTTAAAGTTGCCAGTCTGCCGAGATCTACCAGACCAAATAGAGAGGCGTAGCCATTACTGACAGCCTACTACTAGGTAAATACACACTTCTACTTGTATAAAACTGACCTTCGTACGATTAATACTTCATAAAATAATGCCTTTATCTTACCTCTTTCTAATCTACACACATACAAGTATTTAACTGAAGTTACACAACAGTGTTGTTGATACAGAGTTGGTGTTTATTCACACGTCACGTGGGTAATGTTTTCAAGAAACATTGAACAGTGCTGCCTAGTGCTGCGTACCGGTACGCCGAACCGGTACTGGACTTGTAAAAAGTTTCGGTTCAAGTCCGGTTAAAACCGGAACGTCGGGAACCGGTACTTGGACTCGCAAACAAACTAGCACTTACGTATATTCTGGTGTCTGTGGTTATTTAAACATTCCCTGATAAACGTTATTCAGCGTCAATAAATGAGTGCTAATCCCAGTGTGCTCAGTGTACAACATCACATGTCATTTCACCTTAGATTCACGGTTTGAAAACGTAGCATTTCGCCACATGCTAATGCTAACCGGAAGTGAATACTTTTCAGAATAAAAGTATTAAGTTAATAGTGTGAACTTCCGGTTTTTTCAGAATAAAACTGATTTAAATTAAATAGTGTATTTAATTCAAAATTACGCTATATCAACATTGATTTTAATTTCTAACAGTATGTATGTACATCACTATGTATGTAGTATGTACTGTATAATGTACACATGTAGAGTTGTAGAAAATACATAGTGTACAGACAGTACAGTACAGTACATTTGTACTTTGTAGAGAAATGTAGACACAAGTTGGAAGGGAGCACAATAAACCTGACGAGTTTGAATTTGAGTTGATTATGAGTTAATTTGTAATTGATAATTAGCTCACAATAAGTTCACTTTAGTTACTCACACAACTTGACACAAGCCATGGGTTCAGGTCCGGACTTATAAATCCGGACCTGAACCTGAACCTCTGGACTTGAGTCCGGACCTGAACCTGAATGTGAGTCCAGGTACGCAGCACTAGTGCTGCCACATGCCACAGGAAAAAAAGAAAATACTCTGAACCCTTTATTAGCCATTATATAAAAATAGTGTTGCTACAAAAGTATAAATTAGGCTTAATAATAATAAGACAACTCAGATCTGAAGCTACACAGGAATCTGCTGCAACAGTGCAATAAAAAAGACAAAATTAATAGAATCAAACCATTTTTTTGTTGCATTTTAGTAGATTATAAAAAGAAATGCCTTTAAAATAGGATGCAAGCAACACTAGTTTCTTAACCTGAATTGATAATAGATTATAATCAATTTAAGTTTGCATTCTTATCTTATACCATTTTGTACAATAATTATAATGAATAAATTCAAACAAACTAAAACTTACAGCTGATTAATAACGTATCTAACTTGAGTTTTTATTATATCAAAAACCTGTTGAAATGTTACTGTTATTTTTTACTGTCCCCCAAAAGCGCATCGGTAGCCTCCAGGAATGCTTATTTCACAACTTCGCAGTCTTTGAAAGACTTCATGTGTTTCGCAAGAACGTGACTGACACGTTAAGATGCTCTGGTAGCAGCCTTGCTCTTGTTGTTGGGCCTGGTGAAAATGGACTGCTGTGCATTTAGCTGTCCTTTCAGGCCCCTCCCCTTTTGGAGCGTAGGGCAGAATTAGGAGGGAATTCCGTCTCGTAGCGTTTGTGCACTGTTTTGAAATGCCGCTCCTTAATTACCCTTCTTCGATAAAGCCACGCTCGCATTGCAGATGAGACAGATGGACTTTCAATTGGAATAAATACAAAAATAATCATCCTCCCACTCGGAGTTAAAATTATATATGTTAACTTTTGCTTCTGCCATAATTGCGGTCTTGTTTGTGTGCGGACTGTCACTCCTGTTGATACGGACAACGTTAGCGAATTAGTGCACTGCCCACTAGCCACGCCCCGACACATGTGGTCACGGCGGCCAATCACAAAGCTTTGATGCGTTCAAGTGCATTATTCTGGCACAGGAAGATTATGTTATAGGACATTAACGATAAAACAGAATATTGTTGTTCTATTTTTAGACACATCTCGCGATCGACTGGGAATCTCCCCGCGATCGACCGGTCGATCGCGATCGACTGGTTGGGCACCCCTGGTCTAACTCTTGTGTATGTTGCTTCGCTCAACGATCCGTCACAGCGGTGGAGCTGTGATCATGCAGAGCTGCGTGTTCTCCATCATCAGCAGCTGATCTGATCTCTCTCTCTCTCTCTTGCGTCCGGTTATACTTCACTCGCGTTTATGTTCAAATCCATCCGATCTAGATAGTTCTAGTTAATTATATGACTGCCTGCGTGTCAAAGGACCTAAACAATAAGCGTTGCTTGGCAACGGCGTGTGGCCGCAAAGTATAGCGCAGCATTATGCATATGTTTATATGAGGGGTCAAAATCCCATGCTCATAAAATGCTCATATATTGTTTTCTCTTCATTCCCCACGCCCCAAAATAAATAAATAAATATACTAATTTTAGGAAAAGTGAGGAAGTTTGAGCAGTGTGAGTTTTATATTAACAGTTACACATATTTCAAGTGTAATAACTGCAGTTTGCCTCGCTGTCAGAATGACAAAGATCCTCAGTGAAGCTCAAGCCCATGTTTCTCACGACATTAAGTACAACTTATTAGAAAGATCAGTTCAATGCAACTAATGTCGTCTGAGCGTTATTGCATGATGTTAAAATTGGCTTGCCATGAATTTAGTGATGGATTGTAAACATTTGAAATGTAGCATTTAAGTGTTTCTCAGTTACAATGTTGTTGTTTTAATAAATCAGACACTGATGGTGCAGCGCTGTACCGTACCTCTTTATATAGGCATTTTCTGCGCTGATCAGGGGGTACTTGGCTGCATTTTTTTTTCAAAGGGGGTACATTATTGAAAAAAGTTTGAGAACCACTGCCCTAAAGCATTACTTCCGATCAGTGTAGCATTATTTGGTGCACAGGTCAAATATCTTACTTGTATGTTTTGGTCTTGTCTAGCCAAATGCCACATATGAGGGACCCGGCCATGCCAGCAACAACGATTGTCAGACCAATTCTCCCAGCATTCACCTCTTCACCCTGAGAGAAGAAAAATGATCGGTTATAAAATAGCGTATTAAATAACATTTTGCGACTTGCAGTTATCTTTTCAGGAAACTCGGAGCCATAACAGAGCCCAGTTATCTGTGTCAGGGTCATCTGCTTGGCCACTTTATAGTTTACTAGTTGCAGAAGAAAACGCAAAAATGTCTACATGCTTTGATATACCACAAAAGAAAGACTACGAGAGTAGGTCAAACAAATTAAGAAACAGAGTGAAATAAGTACATAAGGCAATGGCATATTTTAGAACAGGAACACTGGGACTTACCGGGTATTGATCAATGATCATCCGATTCAACAGCGTGGAAATAGAATAGAAGCAGCCGACGTTCAGCCCTGCAGGAACAGACAGAAAACAGTGTATTTTGAGAAGACCTGTAGGGTCAGATAAGGTGCAGATGGCACCTCATGATACACCCTAAAAACAAAGCTGACATCCTCACACATTAAGTCCAGTATAGCCTTCAGACTTTGTCAATACTGATACGTTTATTTATACTGGAGCACAAAGACACAAAATGACCTTAAAATCCCATTGTTATAGCGGTACACATTTACAGACCAACACATCAATATGCATTGCACGGTTAAAAAAGAAGACATCTTAAAATACTTTAATTATCCTCAGAAGTGAGGGATAATATCATCAAGACAGCATTATGACACAGCCTCTTGTAAAAAAAAAAACTGGACTTACTCCGCCACTATTTTTATGATATCTATTTAGATTAGCTTCCTACATCATGCTCAAATTTGTTTTTTTGGACAGTTAGAATATTATAGCTAAGTCATGTAAGGAACTGTGATGTAAGTAAACCATGACACAACATTCTGATTTGTTAGGAATCATAATAAAGCATAAATTCAGAACATTTGCTAGTTCTAGCTTGTCAAAAATATGAGGTCTTTGTTTGAGTGAACTTAGTGGCAGCCTCGGATAAACATCAGAGGAAAATAAAAGACCAACAGTCCTCTTTCTTGAGACAATATGTATTTAGTACCTTGTTTGTGGAAGTAAGAGATTAAAGCAAGAGGAAGGGACCCACCATAGGAGACCATCAGGAGCATGAAGGACTTGTTGCGCAGCAGCCTCAAGATAGAGGACATGTACGAGTTCTCCTCGGGTGGGGTGCTCCTGGCCTGAACCTGCGACTGGGAGGGGGGGAGCTCTGGTTTCTCCTGAAACACTGGAAGACAAACACACAATGTTTCAGGAAGTTAGGAAGCTACTTGTGTATTTTTTTTTATTAACTTGTTTTGATATAGCATCGTCTCTTCAACTGAGGTATGGCCCAGAGTGAAGCTGAAGGTTACATTTTAGAGGTGGATAAGTAATATGTGTGTGTGTGTGTGTGTGTGTGTGTGTGTGTGTGTGTGTGTGTGTGTGTGTGTGTGTGTGTGTGTGTGTGTGTGTGTGTGTGTGTGTGTGTGTGTGTGTGTGTGTGTTAGCAGAAGATATTTCACTTTCCAAGTAAATGAATAACCTTTGTGTTAATTCCTTATCGCCGATAACCACGCTGTACCTTTTCAAAGGTTAAATAAAATGTTATGATAATCCCAGCCCGGAGCCCTTTTCAATGTGTTGATGGTAGGTTAACATTTTCCTTGACGACTAGAGGAGTCTGTATATATTTACCAAGATAAACCATCTCATATTTTACTTCAGCAGGTTGCCTTTATTGCCAATTGGCCCACTTTTATCATAACTGGGTAATAAAGAGTTAATCAATGTTTTTTTTACAACAGGCACTGTCAGCTGCTTCACACATGTATTCCATGTTTTTTCCAAATAAGAAAAACTGTTTTGTAGGTTGCCTTATTAGAATTATTCTCATTACATGGCATGGGTATGTTCAAACTGTTGAATTTGTTTTGGCCTGACAATTTACCAGCTTGGTAATATCACATAGAGCCTGTAAACATATCCCTTATAATAAAGTGCATCCTGTGATTCAGCTTCAGCATGTGTCTCTTACTGTCGGTGTTGGAGGTGAAAAGAGAGTCTAACAGAACTGATGATGGCTCCCTGAGTGCCTGCATGTATTTCACATCCGTGTCTGAACACATCTCATCAAAAGGTTAACAATTACAGCAATTACTGCAGCTGCTCATCCAGCGGACTGTGATGCGGCTGAGTTTTCAGTAGAAAGCACATCTCAAGGAGACAGCAGTGCTGCCTGAGGAGCCCTACAGCTCGACCATAAAAGAATGAATGGTGTGTTAAACGTTCAACTCTAATGGTGCAGAAGCCCTACAAAGAATCACCTGAGTTGTCATCTAAAAATACCATTACAATGTCATCAAAGATTGTCATTGATAATGCTGCAATGACTTCACGTTTTCATTTATTTTCCTCAAGTGACTGTGGGAGTTATATGACATTGAAAGGGACTTGCAGTGGGTCATTATTGCATGAATGAGCAAAGAGCCTTGACACCTCTGACTGCCTCTATGAGCCGGTGGGTGGGATCTCTTACCAATGACCACGAGGATAAAGATGAGGGTAGCCACCCCTGCGCTGGTGTAGAACATGATCCTGATGTAGTACGCCAGCTCATCCATATCGTCCACATTCGGCACAAGGATGGGCGGGAGCAGGAACCCAATGGCAATACCCATCTGTAGGTGAGAGGCACAACATTAAAACATGTGTTATTCTGCCTCCTGAACACACAGGAAATGTGGATCATTATTAAAAAAGTGGGAAATAAAGAAAAAACTAGAAAATAATTCCAGAAAAGTTAAAGTTTGAGTTTTTTTAAGCCTGTCTTGAGGAAAAAAAGTATGCAACAAAAGCTTTGTGAGTGATGACTACTCGCTATTGTGAATACACTAATTAACTATATGTAGTAATAACATTCAAAATATGTCAAAGGGGGAGAGGTAGTAGGATATTTGCACAAAAACAGCTGTCCTACAACACTTAACTTAGCTTAGCATAACTAAGTTGCATTTTTGAGTATTTTCCAAAACGTAAGACTATATCTTAGTACAGCTAATGGAAGGGGTCATATTTTGGGACATGTGCCTGACACGAAGATACAATATCTGTTTGACTTCTTCAGATACTAAACCTCCTCCAACAACCTCCACATTTCAATACCATGAGTAGTGCCTGGCCTCAAAAACATTCCAGAGGGGACACCAGTTGAAGCCCCTCCGCTCTAGGGGAAAAGCAAGAGAGGGAAAGGGACATGTTCCTCAAGTAAAACAAATCTGTGAACAGTATTCACAGAGAAATAGCAGACCCCCTTCAGTCCTCTTAATGTAGCAGCCCCTATAAATAGCATAGTATATCATACACTTACAACTTTGCTACTCTTAGCAAGAATTGTTAATTTAACTTGTGGTCATTTTCAAACTGTAACTGGGTAGTCAGCTCTGTAGAGAACTACATGTACAAATACATGAACATGCAAAGAAAATACATTGTATCGATAAATCTTTTTGCATTTTGGATAAGTAAAGTAAGTCTCTAAAACTTGTCCAAACTAAAGAACAAGATTTTTCTCACATGCTGCAAATCAAGGACCTCTTATGAAGTTTCTTTTGGCACACAGTGTTTATTTGTCTGATCTTAAAAGGCCTTTATGGAAGTCCTAACTTATTTTACTGTATGTAAACCATTTGTAAACGTTCAAGGGGATATGTGAACTACTACAGCATGAAAGCATCGGATTTAGGAAGCGGATTCAAAGGAGTGATGAAGGTAAACATCAATAACAATGTGTCCTTTCATCTTCAGTGCTGAAGAGCCAGACCTAAGCAGTAGAAAATGTGTGACAATCATAGATTGTATAAAAGGACAATGGCCGGTGTGCATTTCATAAGAGGGATCCGACCTCTTTTGATGGTTAATGTTTACGTAAAGGCTTAAAGATACTGCTGTGATCACAAGGCATACATATATAACCTGTTCTGGCTGTGTAGTATCCTTTTTTTGTTTGTATTGGCATTCACAGAAAGAACCTTTTAGAGCTAAAATTATCTATCAAGCCAAATTCTTCCCTTTGTGGAAAACTGCAAAACCTCTTGAGTTCTAAATCGTTTTGTTCCTGTAAAATGAAACAGATATGACATGCCTAGATTTTCCTTTAGTTCAAGCTTCAGATGACCTAGCAGGTTTAATACACATTTTAGTATTTTTAGCTGTAGCTTCCATGGACACCGCTTACTCAGTATAATCTCAATTTACTAATAATTTATCATAAGCCTCCAGGATTGTTCAGAAACAGGCGGTTCACGGGCACACTATTATTGCCTGATATTGGCTGCCATATTTCCTTGTTAAGAGTAGTATATACAATCTGTTATTTCTGCTTACTTCTTGTTTGGGAAAGTAATTTTCACATAGCCATTGGCAGAGTCCATTGTAAGTATAAGGGGCACATTTGTTATGATTCATGAGTTTAAGACCCTATTTTTCTAGCAATTGTCTTTTCTGCAAAAAATGTGCTTCGGTGCATGTAAGTTCCATTTCCTCAACATGCAATTGAAATGGTTACACAATGCTGAAGGTATGTTGAGAGAAAGTAACTGAAATCTAAGATAAATTACTTAAATGAAAAAAGCCCTAACCCTGTAAAAGAAAATCAGCATTCGACATTTTTACTTCACAAGTAAACACCAGTGAGGCTACACCAGGCAAACATTTGCTCAAGGTCTGTTCATTGAATGTTCTCCTGTCAACTGACACACACATACAGTTCTCTTAACACCAATATGAGAAGTTCATAAAATCGTACACACACGGCCAAAGATGTTTTTAGCACGAAAAGCAAACTGAGACACACCTGGTTTCCCAGAACACCAACGGCACAGGCGGTGGAGACCTCATGCTGCCCAAACCACAGGGATGCGAGTCTGGAGGGGATACCCAGGATAAAAACTGTGGCAATGGAACAGACAAACTGTCCGAAGAGGGTCATGTCAAACATGTCTGGGTGGGCTGTTCCTGTCTTGATCCAGGCCCCGATGCAGTTGAAGGCTGCGCCCACCACCACTACATCCCTGATGCCTCGGTTGTCGAGCACCCACATGACTGGCAGGATGAGGGGGATGTAGGTGAGGAAGAAGATCATGGAGAGCCAGTCAATGGCCAGGGAGTCAATGTTGTAAAACCGCATGAAGATGTTGCCTATGATGCTGTACTGCAGCCACATGAAGGCATTGCTCATGGAGTAAGCACTGAAGATGAATAGCATGAGCCATCGCCGCTTGTACAACTTGGTCTCCATAAGAGGGAAGATAAGCACAGTGTCAATGTCCGTAATCTCTGAGGTGTTGCTGCTGTTGTCAAGCTGGCTGTATTCCCCACAACCAGTTCTCTCTTTTCTTGTTTGAGAACAATCAAGGCCTCCATCATCGCAAAGGTCCTGATGGAATTCATTCTGAGAACTCATGTTGTTCCTATGAAACCTCTTTCCTTGAGGCTTCTGTTGCATTCATCAACTGGAGGGAAGAGCAAACATGTCTCCTCGTCTGTTGCTCTTTAGAAACCGTGACAGTTTATCTGACTCGTCCTTCCTACCACATGATGATCACATGAAGTTTGCCAGATCTGCCCATTGTGGCAATTATTCCTTCCAAGTCCTTTTGAATTAGCAGAAGTGGAACTGGGGTGCAGTTTGAATATAATTTTGGAAAGCTCTGAAATCAGCCAACAGTTACCAAACTAACCTCTGGTTTTTAACACATTTTGGGTCATGTGAGAAAAAAAACTTCTCATTCACACCTCCTTGCATCATCTATCTTTATAGCAGGTGGTGAGTTTGAATATATGGTAGTACGGTCAGAGACCATCTTGGTGTTATTGCGATGTAAGGCAAAGTGCAGATTGTTATAACAATATTCAACAACATTTGAAGAGGTGCTAAAATCCCTTAAAAAGAGTTTTGCACATTTTCCAGTGTAGTAAAAATATCTGGAATTGAATTGTAATCAATGGGTCACATAACAGGTAAACTGTTTAAAGTAAATAAGACTTTCCAATAGAGAAAATGCCTTACTTTCACAACAATATAAACAAATGTAAAATATAAATAGCCCTAGTTTTCCAGTGTAGTAATACAATTACGCAGTGATTTGGAGTCACTGACATGGTATGGAATCTATTGAAGGTCAATTATCTTCTATTTAAATATTTAAATAGAGTCTATTAATGATTCGAAATCACAAATTGTCCCTTATATGGGCAAAATAGCACAGCAATATAAAAAATAACATTTGATAGTCTATGGTTTTTGTCATTCAAACAGGACTGTATTGACTGCTCCTAAACTGACCTGTGGCTGCCAACAGTCTGTGGAACTGAGTGACGGACAACGCTGTGAATGCCTGACGAATGCACAACCTAAAAGTAACTTCCCCCCGATGTCCTGCTCTCTGCTGCTACACTTCCTCTGCGAGGAAAACTCCATTCATGGAAAGAGAACTGGAACGAAAAACTAAAACAAATCTGAGACTTTCATGAAATTCAAACTGCAACCCCAAATTCACTTCGTTACTCCCAGGCGTCCTCAAGGAAAAACTGTGGCACGTCGATATGCTGTCAATGATTCAGGATCAGTGTCTGGATATAGTGGGAGGCACAGTAGCCTACAGTTATCAAACCGAGATTGCTTCGTTGTTAGGTTCCTTAAAACTATGAAAACAACCGCAATAAAACGCTTACCGTCAGCAGATAACCCGGCCGTAAAACAATCCTAGTCTCATATCTGAAACACTTTCGGCATTAACTTTCTCGCGGTCCATTTACGCGTATCTAACGTGACGAAATGTGAACATGAGCAGTAGGTTAAAGAAACAAACAGCCCGGTCATTTAAACTATTTTCGCGTCTAACCGTAAGTAATAGTTCAGATAACCGTCTGTTTACCATACCTGGAGCACGGCAACACTGTCATAAAGTATGCTTCCAGCAAAAGATGGCGAAGGTGTGCACGTCACCACCGATTTGGTTGGTGACGTGACAAAACATATTGACCAACTTCCGTGATTACAGCATTGGAATTTGGCTTTAAAACATGTTTGTATTTTTCCTATGATGATTCCTTGAAACAGCTGGTTTGTGGTGGAAAGTAACTACAACCTATATCTTTTTTTTTAATTGGCAACTGTATGGAGGGAAACACAAACGTACTCAGGGCCAAAGTTCAGCAGGGTGATAGCTTTAGTTAAACACACACACACATACACACACGCACGCGCACGCACTTCGTTTAGCCATCTTTAATATTTGTTTTGGACAGCACATGACCTCATTATGTTTTATCACAGCAGACCATAACGCACAGTAAGGGGCTACAGGCGGATTGTATTCTCAAGCTTCTGCTCCGGGGCCCACTGACCCACAGGGGCCATCAAAACCTTCACTTTCACTGCATGCATTTAATCGGTATATTTGCAGATTTGTTTGGTAATTTGCAGCAATATGTAAGCAAAGACAGGTAATGCATAATTAAACTTGTATTAGAGACAATTTATTGTTTCAAATCAAATAGATAATTTAGTCAACCATTTGCCCAAATTCCTCAATCCAGCCAGGTTATGGTCGACTATAGTAATTTAATTTTAAAAAGACAACATAATTATTATGCTGATGGTTTTTAAACATAATTAAACGTGATTTATCAGAGGTATTAGTGACTCTTCAGATTAACTCACCTGATTCCCAAACACTCCAATGGAGCAGGCGGTGGAGACCTGATCAGCGCCGAACCAGACCGAGGCCAGGCGGGAGGGCATCCCGAGGATGAAGACCTGAGAAAGGGAACTTGCGGCCTGGCCCAGCATGGTCACCCAGAACAAGTTGGGGTTGGCACTGGCCACTTTGAACCATGCCCCGCCACAGTTGAGCACGTTGGCCAGCAGCGCTGTGACCCGCAGCCCTTTCTTATCCAGGAGCCAGGTCACCGGGAAGATGAAGGGGATGTACCCGAGCATGTAGATCATGGACAGCCAGTCGATAGCGAAGGCGTCCACGTTGTAGAACTTTATCAGGATGTTGCTGATGATCCCGTACTGGATCCATTGGTACGCATTGCTCAGGGAGTATGCGCTGAACAGGAACACGATCATCCAGCGCTTCTTGTACAAACGGGTGGTGTCCACAGAGCCTCCGTTACCGATAGGGATGCTGCATTTAAGTTGCTCCGCCGAATCTGGACCCCCGGCTCCCAAATGTGGACCGTTTCCAATCGCATCAAGCGCACTCCTGTCCTTCGACACAGTCGTATTTTCTTCCATGTTCCACTTTAAGTGAAAAGTGCGCCCTTGGAATGTAATGAAATCTTTCACCACAGCAGTAACCTACTTCAAGGGTCTTTGAACTGCCCCTAATGTACACATTAAAAGTGACAATTAAAAAAAAGATCTATGATAAATCTCTTGCCATGTGAGTCAAAACACCATTCACTTGTACTACAAACAGTGAAACTACTCAAAATGCATGGAAAGGAGCGACCTGCTCTGCACAAGCTCTTAATACTTAAGCTGTCTGAGAAATCCTTTTATCACACACACTAGGCACAGGCTGACCCGAGTGTTTCTCCACCCAGTTGCTGAGAAAAGAAAGGACAGGGGCTCGGGACACACACCTAAGTCATCACAGAGGAAACAGATCATAGAAAGCCAACCCAATAGAGAGATTGATGTTTGGTTTGCTCTTATCTTTACCCGTTTTAGTTTTATATGCTAAGGCTATCACTCAGATTGGCAATGCTTTTTTATTCAAAATTCAAATCTAATTGATTATATAAGGTTGCACTTCATAGCAGGAGTTTTGTTTGGTTAATGTCTCCTCAGTCATCACCCAGTTAAGCTGCTTATCCAATCCCCTATAAGAACAATGGCTGCACTGTGACTGCCTGTGTGTTTGCTATGATGTACTTGTATTTTCAGGATGGAATAAATAGGGGTTGAATGGCCAATCGACACCTAAAGAAAAATGATTACACTAAATCAATCAGAATTAAAAGGTAAAAGGTGAAGGCAATGTGAAAAGCTTGAATACGTAATGCTCAGATAAACAATTGTGTTATTTCATGAGACATAGATTTAATTTTACCATATTTGCCAGTGATATCATTTAAAATGTTCTTATAGCTTTCCTTCTGCAGGATCCATTGTGATCTGGGACACCTCACACATTAAAAATAGCCAAACTTTGTGGTGAAAAGGAAAGTTAGAAATAACACCAACAAAAATCTATATAACTGGCCACCAGACGGCACCGTTAACCAGAACGTTTGGTCACGAAAATTAAACCCAAAATATAATACAGGACTGATATTATTTCCATTTTGTAAGACTCAAACGTCTCAAAGCAATCCTGTAAAAAACTCGATGAATGAATACAGTTCTTGAATAAATACAATGCGGGATGTTGTAATAGCTTGTGGTTATTGAATACGTATACAATTGGTATAGGCGTATCAAAGTACAATGTAATCCAAATTGGAAATAAACTATTATAAAATAATAGTTTATTTCGTTTTGCAGCAAAATAAAAACAGGATGTATTTGATGTCTATCACAGTGACAGTTTCCTATATGACACCAACTCACCTGATTCCCAAAAACTCCAATGGAGCAGGCGGTGGAGACCTCATCCGCGCCGAACCAGACCGAGGCCAGGCGGGAGGGCATCCCGAGGATGAAGACCTCGGCCAGGGAATTTGCGGCCTGGCCCAGCATGGTCACCCAGAACAAGTTGGGGTTGGCACTGGCCACTTTGATCCATGCCCCGCAACAGTTGAGCGCGTTGGCCAGCAGCGCTGTGACCAGCAGCCCTTTCTTATCCAGGAGCCAGGTCACCGGGAAGATCAAGGGGATGTAGCCGAGCATGTAGATCATGGACAGCCAGTCGATAGCGAAGGCGTCCACGTTGTAGAACTTTATCAGGATGTTGCTGATGATCCCGTACTGGATCCATTGGTAAGCGTTGCTCAGGGAGTATGCGCTGAACAGGAACACGATCACCCAGCGCTTCTTGTACAAACGCGTGGTGTCCACACCAATAAGGATGCTACATTTAGTTTGCTCTGTGCAATCTGGACCCCCGGCTCCCAAATGTGGACATTTTCCAATCGTATCAAGTTCGCTCCTGTCCCTCGAGACAGACGTATTTTCTCTCATTTTGTACTTCAAGTAAAACTAGCACAGTTGTAAAATAAGTAGATCTCCAATCACAGCAGTAGCTGTATTACAAAAACAGTAAGCTATTTTATTCATAATATGTAATGAATTATAAAGTTGCACCAGGAGTTTATAACCCCTCAATCCTCACCCTGATAATCTGTTAATTCAATCCCCTGGTTAGAACAATGGGTGCCTTATGACTACCTTTGCGTTTTCTGTAACATACTTTTATTTTTCATAATGGAATAAAGGGCAAGGATATGTGAAATCTAAACTCAAGAAAATGACATTTCACTACACTATCAGTCTCCATTTGATTTCAAGAAAAAATAAAAAGGAGAAAGCAAGGTGAGAAACTGGTGCTGACTGAGATACACATAAAACACTTACCTTTTCTTCAAGAGACACAGATTCAATTTGACCATCATTCCCAATGGTATAATTTTAAATATAATAACAGCTCTACTTTTGCAGGATCCATTGTGATCAGGGAAACCTCACACATAAATATAACCAAACTTAGTGCAGGGGATCCTAACATGTTAGGCATATTAGCTAAAGTTTAAATTGTTAAGAAATTAACCTATAACAAATGCATGGAAACCATTCAAATATGTAGATTAATAACGCAAATCCTCCACATTGTAATGCTACTGGCCAACCGATAGTGTCGTTTAAAGTTTGGTCAAGAAAAGGATACCCAAAATATAAGACATGTTTGACGTTTTCAATTTTGCAGGACAGTAACAAACAAACTAAACATTTATTTTGTATGGAAAATGCAAAATTGTATTTTGTAATAGCTTATATGCTTATATAACATCATATACAAAAGTATAAAATTGGTTGTAACAATATGGTAACATACAATAAAGTACAATGTAAACAGTCCATATATATAATATATGCATACATGACGCCTGCGCCAGGACATAGGAAAAAAGAAAAGGATCATCCGCCATGCCACCAAATGTATGAAAGTACAGAAGTTGTCATGAATTGTGAAAGTTATTATGCAGAAAAAAGGCTTCTGAATGTGTTTGGGTGTGATTACATGCTTTAGAAAAATTAAGAATTATTTTTTTTATCTGAGGGGGCAAGCAACAACTTAGTTTAAGCCTACCTTGTTGCCCTCTTAGTTGCATTTCACTTAAGGTCCTATGATTCCCAGAATGCATTGTAACTAAAGCAAAGCAAATGTTGGGGCCTATAGCTGTTGCGCAAATCCTCATTACAAAAAAAAGGTGACCATGTGTCACCTAATGACTTAAGCATTATATTACTGACTCACATGGACAGGTAATTGAAATGCTGTGAAAAAAACAGTTGGATCTTGCATCTAAACATAAGGCTGTTGAATCAAATGTAGAATTTTTTAAATAGCAAATAAAAGTAATTTATAAACCACCAGATGAATTGCTAAAATTAGAGTTGCTCTACAAGTGAAGTGATGGCTGAAGCAAAGAAGAGATATAGTACAAATCCATCAAAAAGATAAGGTAATGTGTTGGGTATTTTTCATTTTGTTCATACTGATAGTGGCTGGAACTCAGATGACCACAACAAGAAATAAATGGGAAAGCGAGAGAGAAAAACAAAATTAAGTTTGATTTAACTGCCAACAGTGTTCATTTCGTGGTGTACTGCTCAGTGAGACAGGGTGGGAGGCCATGGCTGGATCTCCAAAAGCTAAGTGCTGCTAGTTGGCTGCTTCTCGTCAACTGTAAACTGTACAAAGTTGTCACATCTTCACTTGTCCTCCAGCTGCTGCAGCAGAGGGTTGGCCTCGCTCTCCGGGGATTTGACACTGTCTGTCCTGACAATGCACGTGGGGCGGTGCCGGTTGAGCATGAGGATCAGCTGCTGTCGCTCCAGCTTCAGCTCCTCAATCTGGGCTTTAAGGTCAGAGTTTAACATCTCTAGTCGGTCCGATTCCTGTGAGAGGACGAGATGAAAAGATGTTAATAAAGCGGGGAAACATGAGGAAAATGTAGAAAATGTTGTTTTGGCAGCTCTCACCTGTTGGAGATAATCCGTTCTCTCCTTCTTTTTGTTTCGACATCGTGCTGCAGCCACTTTGTTCTTCTCCCGCCTTCGTTTCCTCCTGTCAACCTCTTCATCTCTCTGAATAACAGTGCAGGTAAAAAGGTTTGATGTTAAGTATGGATGGACCTGGGACACATTGTCAATGCCTGTGTACAAAATGATAAAAAACAATATCGTCTCACCTACTTTGTTTTGTCATTTGACTCTATCCCTTCTTCACTATCTTTATGAATGAGAACAAAGATTAAAAATACAAATACTCCTACGTTTTCTATTTTCTTCTAGCTTTGCATGGATGTAGAGCTGTCACAGTATGCGTGTTTAAATGGTTTAACATGACTGTAAAGAAGTAGAAATATGTAATAACTATTACTACTAAGTTAGAGTGTATAACTTTTACAAAAAATAACTCAATCTAAATGTAGTCTTATTTTCAATTTGAATCTTTAAACGCTAATGACAATGTTTTTATTACGGTATACAGTATATTACGGTTTGAAATTGATACTTTTACTTCTACATGGTGGGAAAACTCCAGAAGTGTATTTGACAACAGTATCATGTCCCACTATGTCCACTAGGTGGAGCTATTGATTAAGATATGACACAATGCTTTATTTGAAATGGTGCTTTCACTTCAGGCAAAGTTGTTTGTGACATATTAGCAGAGATGGGAAAAGTACTCAGATCTTGTACATAACTGAAAGTAGAAGTACCGAGTGTAGGAATACTCTGTTGCAAGTAAAAGTCCTGGATTCAAAATGTGAATCCAGTAAAAGTACAAAAGTATTGGCATCAATATATACTTAAAGTACCAAAAGTAAAAGTACTCATTATGCAGATTATTCAGAATAGTATATATTATGATTATAAATATTGATGCATTCAAGTATTATCAAAGCTGGTAAAGGTGCAGCTAGTCTTAATGGAATATAAAGTAGCAACAATTTGAAGTACAAGTCCCTTAAAACTGTACTTACAGTAAGTACAGTACTTGAGTAAATCTACTTAGTGACTTTCCACCACTGCATATTAGGCACATTTTACACTTGGTTACGCTAGAATCATTGTGATGCATTTGATATTACTGTATTTGATTTGTTACATCTGTTTTTGTTACTGTGGCTAAATCCCCCAAATGTTCAAAAGTCAGTTAAAAAAAAAGTCTTAAAAAAGGAGTGAGGACTTAAAAATGTAATTTTATATTTACATGATCAGCTTCTCAATGTTTCCTTTACCTCTGTTTTGATAACCATGGGCCTCTTCCCCAGACTGTCCAGGAAGTGCAGAGGGGACAGCATTGTACCGTACTCCTGGAAGTCACCAAATTTGAGCCTGTCAGTCAGTGTGGTGGCTGAGATCCCAGCCAGGGGGCCCAGGCTGGGCAGGGAGCCTGCTGTCACAGAGGGATCTGGGATCTGTCCTGGCATCGCGTCAGACTCGGTCGGGACCACAGCTAGGAGGCAGAGAGGAAAAATGGAAGACATATTCAGACAGAAACCAAACCAGATCAATTAAAAACAAATACAATGCTGTCTGCTCTGCTTGTTATGGTAAACTGGGGCATACTGTATGGTATGTGGGTAGAAAAAGTAATTTTACAATAACAAATTAGCAGCAAATAAACATGTAAGTGTCACTACAGTCTGTAACATGGCTTCAATGAGGCATTTGCCTGAGGTGCATTGCTTCTATATAGCAGTCAGACCTTGTTACTGGACATTACTGTGATGAATTGCTGGTCTGTTATAGGAACCGGATGCTGAGGCTGCTCTCATTAGGCTATTTTATTCTTGAGTGAATATACAACCATTTACAGAAATCTTGGCAATAATTTACCTCATGTACTCCCAGCGGCCAAAAGAGGGATGAACAACAGTGTATAAAGCAGACTCAGACAAATTCCCCTTTATTCCAAGGAGAGCTATAGCCTTCGCCAAGAAATCCACGTTAGCCGCGTTTTCCTCTAGGAGACTTCAATTCAAGGGAGCAAAATGTGGCTGCCAAAGTTCTGCATAATGTGGTAAAGTATAAACCCAAATGTAACTTGTTTAGTTTAGCCACATAACAAATTAAAGATGCCACTGTTTACTTTAAATGTTTGCACAGAATACATGTTGACTATGTTAGGGCTATCACTGGCAAATATCACGTTTGAAAAGGCTGACCATGAACATTTAAATATATCTAAAGACAATGAGAGAGGTGTGAGAGTAACGCCAACAAGAGACTCAGGAAATTAGCTCAGCAAATTTCCAAGGCACATGATGCAGCCAAAAACGACAATCTGAGGTCAATTACTCCTGGACCTGTAGACGACACTACACGAATAAGCAGGCAACATCTGGTATAAATATCACTACAGAAACAGCCTGTGTAGACAAATCCATGGGAATTACAAGGGAAGAGTAAGCCAAAAGATGCATCTACTAAATAGTTATGCAGAGAACATGAGAATCCTACATGGGAATTACTTTCAGTTTTCACACTTCCCTAAACTACAGGTCAACTCTGCAGGCCATGCTTATGGTACATGAACACGAGTCTTAAAAATAGTGCATGATAAAAAAGGAGGTCATTTGTGGTTACAGGCATTTGAAAAATGTTGGAAATATTAATGAAGACAAGTCGAATTAACACATTTTTCCAACAAAGAACTCCCAAGCATAGATCATTGGCTGGCAATTTGAGTATAATAATCCACAGTGCAGCTATAATTTAGAACAATTGTATTAAACATTCTCTATGGTAACTATATATTGCCCATGAAGATCCAAGAAGCCAATACTGATATAACTGCATCAATGTTATGTTTTTGTTCCTATGTACTTTTACATGAGACAGCCCCAGGTTTGTTAAGTGATATGAGGTTTAGCTATTTTCGGAATATGTGCAGTCACTATGTTCAGTCGCCCTCAGTGTGTTGCAGGCAGCGTGCATACTGAAGCCAT